TTGATTGGCTCCATTGTTCATAGAGGGTCATGTGCCCCATCACTTGACCTGTATCGTGTTATGTGCATGTAATGAATGCAAGCGGGGGCTCAAAGTCCCTTGTTTTTGTTTTTTCCCTCTTTGTGTTGGCATCATTGTGGTCCTGATTCACACCTTTTGCTCACAGGGGGCGGAGTCATACTTGCAATAACAGCATTGTAGAAGGAGGACAACTGGAAACGAAGGCTTCCACCTCTGTTTAATGGTGGACGTTTTATTTTTTTTTTTACAAAGATGGCTTCGTTTACTCCTCTGTCAAATCAACGTTCCTCTTTATCAAGGATGAGAACATCTTCATCCCTGAAAGAGTATTGGAACAACTCTGTTATTTTTGTTGTCCACTGAAGATGTTTGAGTTTAAGATTAAAAGATGATCATCAGGATAGAGTTCAGAATGTCAGCTTTTATTTCCTGGTATTTACATGTAGACCAGCATTTTTAGGTGAGCAAAACTATTGGAACATGTGACTGACAGGTGTTTGGTATTGACCAGGTGTTGCCTTTAAGGCTGATTGTTCAAACATTAAATAGTTCTGCAGGACTAGTCTACATTTTCGTCTGGCTTTAAACCTATAAAGTAGGTATTTCTTGTTAAAGATACATGAAGACCAGAGAGCTGTCTTTGGGGGAAAAGCAAGTCATTTTGAAACTAGAAAAAAAGGAAAATCAATCAGTCATTGATAAACATTGGGCATAAGAAGCACAATAATTTGAAATGTCCTGGATAAGAAAGAAACTACTGGTGTACTGAGCAAGAGACAACCAATAAAAATGTTTTAAGACTTTTCAAGTGTCCCAGAACATGAAAAGAGCCGAGGTAATACTGGGCTAAAATATAGATTCCCAACTGTTACCAGTTCAAATCGATTACCAGTTCAAATTCGGCAACAATAGTATCTAAAATGAATATTTTAGACATCTCATTGAAGAAATTTATTGGGGTTGTTTACTACTGATTTATAAAAGACACTACACATTGTATAGTCTTTTATTACGTTAACAGTAATATATTTCTATAATGTGGTTATCTCTGACTTAATTGATGATTTTATATGCAGACTGGGTTGTGGGGCTCTTGATCAGGGTCTCACAGACTCAGGAGGCTTTTAGTCAGATACATGTCTGATTTAAAAACAACACATAAGAACAGTGATCAAACATTAGGGTGAGGGATGATGTCTGATATCTTGACTCCATATAGGAGTAGCCTGCCCCTTTAACATATGTCATGAGGTGGAGTCAGGATGGAAAGAAAGCTGTTACTTGATGGGTGTTTCCTGGTTTTTACTCACTGCTTACCTGATGCCTGTCGGAGGCAGATTAAAACAAAAGCTAATCAGTCCACACAGCTGTGTCTGAATGGTTTTGTATGGCTCACTCCAACATTCACACGTCATTATTAACTGGTAATAGATCTTAACAGATAAAGGGTAACGAACATTGCTTATATTTTAACAACATAATTTCATATTTGGACAGATCTCAAACAACTGTCCAAACTAGATAAATTTTCCAAATACTGTAATTTCTAAATGCTTCAATACAGAGACTTCACTGAGGGCCTAAATGTAAGATAAAAGTCCATAAATCATATCCTATCATCCATATTAGGGTTGGGCATAATCGTATCGTGTGCAATTAATCGTCAGAAAAAAATTAATCAATTATTTTTGGCACCTGACGATTAATATGATTAATACCACCAGGCAGCTCTGTGCTCCTCTCCACTTCAAATACGATGAACATTTAAAAAAAAAATTCTGTAATTTATTTATCTATCAACACAATTTAAAAATTGAAGTGTAAATAAGTTTGTAATTTTGACACAATTTGGAACAGATTTTTACGAAGGGCAAATCTTTATCACCAAATTGGTCATGTGACTAGGACACATGGGGTGTCCAGGGGGTTAATCGTCAAATTAATCATTATCGGCTAAATACCACAATTAATCGTGATTAATTTTTTTGCCAATATTGCCCAACCCTAGTCCATATTTACCCAAAGCATGAATAAAATTAGGGCTGTACAATGTATAGCAAATTTATCGTCATCGCGATAACCTGTGCAATAGGCATATTGCAAAAATGCATGAATTACATTAAATGGTTGGATTTAATATTTGCATTCATGTGTTTTGATAGCATCATGTTAAAAGCGTCATGTTGCAATGGAAATTATGTGTTTGTAGTTCTTGTGCTCTGAACCCAGAGCAGAAATACATCAATACTGCTTACTTGACTTTCTCATTTATTGCAAGTCATATTGTCATCGCAATATTAAGCACTGTTATCGCACTTCGCAGGTTTTCCTGATATCATGCAGCCTTGATTAAAATACAAAACAATATTAATAATCAGCAATTTGAATCACAGCTGTGGGATATGCAGCGAATCTCCACCAGCAAACAGCCAAAACACGACACAAAACTATTAATCCTCACTATTTTTTTCCAATCATTACATCCACACAGCTCATAAAACCACCAGCAGCGGAAGAAAAAAGTTTTTACTTTTGATGCATTATTTCTCCTCTTTTTCAGAACAAAAGTAATCCAGAATGGTGGCCTAAACAAAGTTATAAAAATATTGTTCATCTTTAAAATCTGCTTCAGCAAAGTTGGCAAATTTATTTTCTGATGCTATTGTTTTGAAAACTGTCTTCAAAAATTTCACAAGGGCAACTATAGCCATTAAACAAAAACAGTGGCAGCTAGCTGTAGCATTTAAGTCAGGAAATGTATGATTTCACTGCCCCACACAAGGTGCAATATAAACAAATCTAGCAGAATTAGACCCTACTTCTCCAAACTGTAGTGTAATGAGCCAACTACAACAGGTAAGATAATAACTGTTTCTATTTTCCACAGAACTCCATTTCAAAATGATCCCTTTAAGAAAGACTGGTTTAATATTAAAGGCCTAGAAATCTTCAAAGGAATGCATATCACCCATCACCTTTCGTAAATTTTAAACTAAGACAATCAGTATTGAGAAATTACTTATTAAAATGACTTACTGACTCATACGATCACATCATATTTTAGATTCTTACATGTAAAAATTACCTGAGTTATCCCCACTTGTGTGTTTTCTACAGTCAGTTGGCTGGAGCAGCCATCTTTTTTTCTTTTTTTTTCTAAAAAATTTTTCATTTAATTTTTAAATAAAAACAAATAATACATTACAAATAATACACAACTTATATCTTAGAGGAAAAAACCAAAATGAAAGGCAGCAGAAGAAGAAAAAAAATCTTATAAAGTCTGCTCCTTTTGTTTCCAAATATGTTTTCACTTTGAAGTGTGATTTTCAATTAATACAATACTAATTAGGATTAAAAAATATAAAATAAGAAAAAGAAAAGAGAAAAAACATTAAGTTACATTATCTTGAATCAGGTTGACGTATATTCAATGAATATTTTGTGCAACTTTCATTAAAATGTTGAACACTTTGGTAACAGGCCGGCACACGAACACACACGAGCAAACACTGTCCGCCTTTGTCTTTTGGCAGTGGGCAAAAAGTAAAAGTTGTGAAATCTTCAGCCTGGATAGATGAAAGAATAACAAACTTAAAAAAAAGGAAAATCTTTCCCACTGTGGCTCAGATGAGAGAAAGCAGCTCGTAGTGATGGCCTCCTTTCAACTGGAGCTCAGAACAATGTCTGGGCTCCTGCCAGAGCGCCTCGTGAGCTGACATCCCCACCAACGCTCGCTGGCACATCAAGGAGCTGCTGGTAATTTCCAACTCGGTTAATAATAGAAAAGGAAGCGGTCTGATCCCGAACTCTTGTATCGTCAGCAACAGCAGATCTGCTGCTCCCCCATCTTCTCGCATCAGCCTCCCTCCCCCCTCCAGGTTCAGAGCTGAGTTAATGTTGTTTCTCGCTGTACACTCATCACATAATCATTGAGAAACTCTGGGGGATTCACAGTCTACATGGTTCGTGGAACATCTAGAAAACACATCATTAAAATCATATTTTCTCTCAAGTAGAAAATCCGTATTTAGCGGGGGATATTCAGGGCCGCTGCTGACGCTGATATCTGTCATTTAGCTCTGGCTCTGCGACAAACACGAGGACGCCAAGTAGGGCATTGTCAAACCTGCGTCACAAAGGATCCGATTGGTTTTCAGCACATATCAGTGAGAGATAATGACAGGTTAGACAGAAACTATGCAGATTTAAAGGAGCATTAACTCAAAGCTGTAGGATGAGTTGATGTCGACTCCACAGGTCAGTTTTCTGCACAAATGGAACAAAGTCGTCACAATTTGTCTTTACAGGTTTCTCTCATCTCATTTTTTTTATTATTCAAAGTATGACTACAATAAAACCATCATCAGTACAGTTTGATGTTTGCTCCCAGGATTTAATTCTGTTTTTGCTGTTTTCACTCATGGTAGCACAGCGCCATCATCTGGACTGCTGTAAACACAAACCTTTCTGACAACCACAACAAAATCAATCTGGATCAGTTCAGGAGCCTCGTGAGCCTGAAGATGATCAATATTTTTCATTTTCTGCTGTTTGATGTCCACTACAATTTGAGTTTAGGCTTTTAAACAACAGACAAGACTTTTTACTTTTAATCTTTTTGAAACTGCTTCAGTTGCCTTTTTTTTTGCTTCAAACTACATAAAAGTGTCTCTCCTCCAACAAAACCCATTAAAGATAGTTGTGAAGCTAAAGATTGATGCTTAACTTGGTTTAAAAAAGTTTTTAAAGCTGTAAAAGTAAAGAAAATGCATTTTGAATGTATTGTTTTGTGTTGGAGTAACTTTTTATTAGATTGTTTTTCCCAACAACTTTTGAATTCTACAAGTTGTGATGTCATTTCCACAGAGAAACATCTATTGTTAAAGTATTTATCCAATAACAGGATAATTTATGTCTGATTAGATGTGAATGGGAGCTTTTGTGGGAAAAGTGTCTCACAAAGCACCAGGTTTTACCTCATGTTTGTCAGCTGACTGGCTTTTCCAGGAATCGTAGCCGTCGTCATGCAGAGAGCAGTCTGTGGTTCATCACAGATGAAGTTTCCAAACACTCCTGCTATCTTTAGCCTCTGTACTGCTTAAAAATATATAGGAAAAGGCAGTGTTTTATAAAGTACCTCAAAGTGATACTTTAGTAAAAGTACAAGTATCTTACTTTAAAATGATTTTGGTTAAATGATTATGGTAAAAGGTAAAGTCTTCTCTGAGAATAGTACTTGAGTAAAAGTCTTAAAAGTATCTGACATTTACTGTGCTTAAGTATGAAAAGTAAATTTCTGACATAAAATGCTACTTGAGGATTAAAAGTAAAAATAGTGAGTAAAAGTGAGCTGTTAGAATATCAAAAATAAAATTTATTGAGGGGTGAACTCTGTCCCCATTTCTTCTAAAGGCCAAAATGACTAAAAAGTTATATTAAAAGTGTTAAAGTAAATAAATAAACAAATTATTTAATTTAAAAAAATGGAATGCATTAATCCAGTGGTTCCCAACCCATTTTCCTCAAAACACCCCATTCTTAATTTCAAGCCAATCTGACCACC